TACATACTATCTACAAATGCTTTTAGTCTACATTTTTAATAACTGTTGCATTATTTTAGAGGTTAGGTGGTAACATATCAAATGGATATTTACAAAGTTCTATTGCAATTTCTTCGTATTTAAAAATAATCGAAGTATTATTTTTAGCCCAATTTTCTAAATCGTCCTTAGCCTGTCTTAAATATGTCTCACGTGGCAATATCTTGATTTCGGTTTCATCACATGATGATAAAATGTACACAGCATGTTTTGGATCATAGTCACGATATCGCAAGTTGCTGAAAGCGAGAATATTCTTGGACTATTTAAGGCGATTATCAGTCATGTTTATTAGATTAAAAAATATAGTAAAATAATGGTATACCTTTAATATTTTGCCCATATTAACTGATATTGAATCTTTAACTTCTATTTGCACAATTTGTTCACTACTGTCAAGTGCTAAAATGTTTTGAAATTGGATTCGTTTTCCAAATTTATCACTAAAATAAGGTTCGCCTACAACTGATCAATTGTAAATTTACGATGTTAGAAGTAAAACTGATCAACATAAACGCCATAATTTCAAATCAACTTATACCTACCCAAAAGTATTACAACTATGTCGACTTCATCATTGTACTTCATTCTATCAAGTTCACTGCAGGGCGTAATTGTTCGTGGTATATATGATGTAATAACATTCGATTCTATCGGAGTTTCTTTCCAAATAGTTGACCCTCCAATTGATGTTAATCGTATTGGCAACAATTCAGGTAATGGATGTCCTTGATTTTTTGCCACTGATAATGCGTATACCTTATATATATTTATGTATAAAAAGTCATTAAAAGGTATAATATACAAGTATTTAGTTAATTTGATATTTACCTTGTACCGCCGTCCTTCTTGCAAATAGTCAACTAAAAACTCGTCAGGATTCCAAATGGTTATTATGGCATCACGTCCACGAACAGGTGTTGAATATGGATGATAATCGCTCACGCGAACCTTAAAAAAAGTTGTAACTGTGCGTTTATTATCGAGATACTACCGCATGTAAATTAATAAAAAATTTATTAAAAAAATAAAGTAAAATAAATAAAATAGTTTTCATAATAAACCTACAATAATTTAATAATTATGATTAAATTTACCACAGATTGTTCCGAAATCCATTGACTCATCTTCATCGACTTTTCTTCATTTCTACGTTGGATATATTCATGAAGTCTTTCAATCTGTAAGGAACTTAATTCTTGGGAAAATTCAGACATATCATCATTATTTTGAATGAGCGCGTAAAGTTCATCCCCAGCTGTAATGTCCTTAAGTTCTAAACGATAAAAAGCTCTGTTAAACCTACGTATTTCTATAAATTGTTTTTAGTTGCATTCCATACCTTCTTTCGATAGTCGTTTTCGATTTGCTTTTTTAAAATCATCATTATATGATTTTTCGAATTTACTTATCAATGACTCAATTAATACACTAAATTTCACCTACAACAATTATATAAAATATAAATATTCATTTGTCTCTGGAATATACATTCAAATATTCCAAACATTTCAGCATACCTCATGTTCCTTCATATAGTGTTCTTCACCCCTTGCATTACGTATAATACCAGTACCATCCTTCATCGCCTCGCGAAAAAGTAAAGGATATTTTCGTTGTACTACTACATCTATCGCAGGAATGAACCCACCATCAGGTGAAAGACTATGCAATAACGCGCACGGGCGAAATCGCCTAAATCCTAATTTTGCATCCCAATGAGCAAGTTTAGTAGAGTTCGCTGAAATATTTAAGCGAATAGGAGAGCTCGATATGTCGAGTGCAGGTAATCCACCTGACCCCCCTATAATCTGTGAAATACAGTAAACGGATAATATTATGATTCAATTAAATTTAAGAAAAAGTTCATTAATATCCATGAAAAAATAATACTTTGGCTCCAAATATTTCCAATTTATATCCAATCCGTAATTTGGTTCTCATAATTGCACGCTGAAGTGGCTGATCAATGCTAGCTCGAATTTTATACCAAGTATCTGTCAACTCTAGGCCATATTTAATTTGGCATGTATCTGCTTTTTCCCCTATTCAATAAACAAAAATAAGGAAATAGCGATAAATAATATTACAGATTTTTTTCATTTGTATATATAATTGATTATAACCTAATTCGATCAAAATAGCAACCAAGTCGGTCATAATTTGCGACAAAAATTCTGTCAAATTTTTATTGCTATTTTGTCTGAATTAGTGTACAAATTGCTGTGAATTAACATACCTGGTGGAATTGTTATTTGAGAATCTGAATCTTCAAATATATTGGACACGCATAAAACCATTGGCCAGCTTGCATTTCCATCTCCTTCTATGATTAATTTAAGTGCTGAGCGGTGCGCGCAATTAATCTCTTTTTCGTATCTTTAATAAAGCATTTTTTTATTATCATTTTTTATAATATTGAATTAATAAACATTGTTAAGTTAATTTCCTACCTATATCGTAGTTGTTCGAGCACCTTACCGGGACACCACCAATTTTTAAATCTATGTGGAAAAGACCGAATCATGGCAGCAATTTTCCACAAAATCCATTGGTAATGATTGTCCACCCAACGATCATCAATGAGATTTGAATTCGCACCACGTTCAATAAGACAAATAAGTGCCTCATTTGCACCCCAAGTCGATAAACCTTCGGAACGTTCACACGGTTGATCCTCAGGTAATATGAATCGATATGAAAGGGCGCTTACTGGTGTCATAGCAATAATTTCGGAAGGTCTTATAGAAATTAATTGCACTTTACATTTAATATATTAAATGTCAAATTTTTTTAATTAAAATATTTTTAAAAATTTAAAAATTTTAAACTTACATTCCGAATTTTTTCAGGTCAGTTGCGGAGAAACTAAGGGGATAGTTACGTACAATGTCCTGAAGTTTATATCTGTTAGATGGTACTAATAAGAAAAGATTAAAACCAACTTGTTCATCTTGAGATAGTATGT